TTATCGAAAAAAAACTATGTCAAGGCTGTTGCTTTAGTCTTAAAAGAGTTGTTATTTTATTATTTTTATTTTAATTATCTGGTCGGTTTTTAAGCGACCCTCTAATTAATACGCCTATTAAACGAAAGCATATGTGTGTGATAGTTTATAAGGTAATTGGAATCAATTTCTAGATTTCTAGGACAATTGGAAGCATCTTAAATCCTCTTTCTAAGTGATTTGACTAAAGTATAATTGTATACAGTCCAGCATTTAGAAAGGGATTAATTTCGGTGATCAGGAAACTTTGATGAAACAAATTTTCTGGAAAAATCCCTTGCGCCTCAGCCTTGATCAGCCATTTAAAAGCATAATTTTCAAATTTAACTGGTCGTCCTCTTTGATAGTTATCAGACAGGTCATAATCGCTGGCAGCGAATTTCTTGAATCGACGCTGACATTTGTTGACCTTCACACATCTCCGTCAGTATTACCAATTTTTCCTTTTTGTTTTCCGTTGCAATAAAACCCGCGCGAAAATGAAATTACACATAATTGCGAACATGGCTTGCAGAATATTAAAAAAAATATATTGCAATTAACTAACATACTAATTAAACAATAACGATAAAAAACACGGTGATTACATAATTTAGTCAATACAGTTTTAATAAAAAATTAATATACTTATTTATGATATGGGTAGATACCTCATAGAACAGCATATACGATATTTATCTCTATAAGCACTAAAATTATCAATTTATACCTAATACATTTTAACCAATTATTAATTACTATTATTGTCAACTACTTTTAAATTGATAGTATCAAAAGTTGCTATATATAAATTACTGTAGAGCAAATGCGACTATAATCTTATACTGTTGGATAGTTAAGCTAGGTATATTTTTTTAGTTAACAAAAATGGAAGCGTCGTCGTTTGTAATTGCTGAAAAACAGTTTTGAACCGACCGACATTTAATTTTATTCGCGCAAATCTCTAAGAATCAATAGCCAAGCAATATGGCGTTCGATCGCAACAACAGTTACACCAGCAGTATTGCGAGTTTTTTTTTGCAATTCGTTGCATTTCTTTTGGTTATGCTATTTCTGGTGCATCGAACTGTTCGATTCTAGAAAATGATAAGACAAATTCGAAGAAAACTATTGGAAGATGATTAAGTTAAATAGATAATATGGGTTTGAATGGCTAGGTATTTGCGCAGTGTCTTTTTTGATACAATTAATTTCCTGTTGATGCGCTTGTAATGGTAATTTCTTTAAAATGGTCCAGAAATTGTTTTCGCAGCGATGGGACTAAATCGTCCTTAATGGGGCACTTCATTAAAAAAAAGAAACGATAATAGCCTTTTCCGAAATTAGTTGGGGCATTGCTTGAGGTCATTATATTGTCATTGGCGAAATATGTGCAAACGGAAAAAAATAAAAAAAAGAAGATATTGTAAAGCGATTTAAAGTTACTACGCTTCGTAAAAACATCGGTGAACGCCTTCAGTCACGAACTTCGAAAAATAATCATTCCATTTTTGGTACGTCTGCCCTTGAGCAATCTTAAAAGAATCTATAATATGCGGTCAATGGCGCACAGAAAGGGACTCTTTTTTTACTGTTTTTAACAAAAAATGCTCATTATCGATAATTACACTCTGAGCTTAACAAAGAATAAACTTTATCAGGATATGTATACCTACCTACTAAAACGAAATTTTGGACAAACACAGTAATTGCTTATAAACAAAACAACCTAATTAAATGTTTTAATACTACTTATTGGGTTAAACTCGAGGAAAATTTGATTACTTTAGGGGGATTTTTAGGCAAACAATAAGTTTAATATACTTATAACGAACAAATATTTTTTATTTGATATTGTTTTCATCAATGAAGTGTTCACGCTACGTGCACATTGTTATAGATCGCACGTTTCCTGTAAATTTTCTTCAATTATTCCATTTTCTGCTAAACGAAGCATGGAATAAATTCTTAAGAGTTTTACTGGCGAAATTATACAATAAGTTTAAACATCAAAAATTTATCGCTCAAATTTTCAATATAGTATATGTTTTATGAATAAAGAGGGATATCTTACTGTGCTGTATAAGATAAATATAGATAACAAAAAGGCAAAATTTTAATCATACCCGACCCGGCCTATAATTAATTTCGATTGATATTTTTAACTGGTTATTTCGACTTTAACAGCGCTAATTTATTTTTAAAGAGAAATCTCAAAGTGCCGGGGGAATTCCGTCGTCAATTCGGGCCTAAAAAGGTCGACGTGTTGATTACTTATTCGAGAAAAAGTCGCTCAAAGTGCTGTAATTATTTTAAAATTTCGCAATATGCAAAATCCTCACCGGCGCTACAATAATGATAAGTTTTAGTTAAAATGGCTTTTTTATCGAATTAATTGTAATAGCATTGATATTCGTAGTGAAACAAAATAACGACTCACCTATAATAGTACTTACAATCATACAGAGTCATTGAGTAATGTAAAATTAAGTTGATATGCAGAACCTTGACTTGTTTACAAATGAACTCGGTATGTGTATATGTGTATTCTAGTTGCAACTATATAGGCAATTACAAATAATTAAGATAGTGTTTTATAAATATTATTTAATAAAACTCCTTTTGATTGCATGCACTCTAAAAAATCACTGTAAATTTACATAAGTAAATACATCAATTTTAAGGTAAAATTGCAATAATTTTACTGTACTTCCAATTTCCACAGTAATATTCATGAAATTTTACAATTGATTCGGTTTTCTCACACAACGTAAGTGGAACAATACATACTAATCCCAAATATACAATTAATTTGTTGTAAAATAACAAAGCTATATGGATTTCTACATAAACCATGTAAATTATTCCATTTGTTTCGGACTATATTACATAAAATATGTAAAATCACACTAAGTATGTGATTCAGGCCAATAAGACCATCTCGTGTTGATCACGATGCATGTGACGTAACCGACGCGTACCCCCATCTTCCTACAACCTACAACTTGTTCGATTTTGTTTGTGCGTGGTGGCGTGGTCCAATTTCCAGTTAGCGGTTTGGTGTTCACTATTTTCATATTTAAATAAGTAAGTATATTGAATATGTATACGTGCATATATTGCAATGTAAAGTTTTCGTTATAGGCGTTATAGGCGGTTTCGATAAAGGCTCTAAGGCACAGAAGCCAAGCTTAACAAAAAAAAAGTTATTACGTTTATGACGAAATTAAGAGAAATATGTAGAGAGTGAAGAGATGTATGTACCTACCTACCATTTTTTAAAGTTTTTGTTCCTATGTTCCTTATACGTTTATTTTTGTTCAATAAATTTGTATTTTACATAATGTATTTTATTTTACTAATGAAAGGTACACTTCATTTAATATTTTTTTACATTTATACTTTTACAACTATTGAATCATTTCATTAAAATTTTTTAACCAATCTATATTCTGGTTTAGATCGCAGACATTGGGATATAAGCTTGCAGTTTATAAACTTAATCCTATTTTTTCAACCATTTGTTAATTTCACACTATTTTTGGGAAATTCGGCTTTTGAGCTTTTGGGAAATTACATATTCGGTTTTTCAAATCATATGTAAATTTAAACTCCATATGTAAACGAAGTTTCACGTGCTCTGTACTATTACACCTCGTATGTATTCAGAATTTACATCTCACTGGTAAATTTACGTATGAATTGTAATTTTACATTACATATGTAATTCAGCTTTTACATTAAAAATGTGACTTTCCACTCCGTATGTATTTTTCAACATTAACTGTAAAATTACCTGAAAGTTGCTGGCATTAAAGATGCCCTGAACTTTCAGGTAAAATTACACAAAAATTTTTTAGAGTGTGTATATGTGGCATCTATCAGTGCAATATAAATCTTACCTTAAAGTTTTTATATGTATATATTTTATTATTGCATGAAATAACTTATATATCTACATATAAAAAAAGAAGATTAAATGATAAGATATATTTCTAATATTCTGAATATTCTATGTGAATATGACAATTTCTGATATTAGTTTATGAAATATATGTAATATGATGAGAATTAGTTAGACGAATCGGCTGGGCTTTGTAAAATATATCCAGCTTATGTAACTATAATAAAAAGAATATAGGTTGAAAGCTTCGCTCCCATCCGATATAACAATAAATAAAATAGAAGGAGATTTAAATATGAAAGTAATATTAATACTTAAATTCCAGACGTTAAAACTTTATACCTGATGTTGCAACAACGTTAAAATATGGACTGTCAGAAAAAAATGCCACATAATACCATTAGTATTCGAGACTCGGGAAAAAATAAAAAAGGCTGATTGTAAACACAACTATAAATTTCGAGCCCGGTACTAATTAAGGAATGACATCTATTAAACCCAAAAATAGAATAGCCGGATGATTTAACAAAACAGTCCTCTCAAATTAAAAAGGTGCCTAAACCTACCCACTTTCTTTTAAGGTAAAAATGAATCCAACGTAAAGTTATAATTATGTTATAATAATAGTAAATAATATAATGGATGAAGTATCTTTGTATGTAGGTATTGTTTGTTTTCCGAAAAATGTATAAAAAAGATAATTATCATAAACGTCATTGGACGATTCGAGAATATTACCTTCACAATACACACTTTACAAATTAAATTATTAAATTTAAATAGTCGACCTTGAAGCATTTTGTACAGTTCAAACGTTGTTGCCTATATATTTCAACCGCATCAGACTAAGGAGAGACTATTTGACTCATGATCTAGACTTTGAAAGGAATCGTTTGTGCAATTCGATTTTCGTTTTCTGTTTCATTAAACAAGCACATTGTACAAAATCAAGGTCAGGTCACGACGATCGCTTATTTACATTTTACATAGGCAGATAAATGAACATGCGAAACAGCAAGTTTGAATGCTAGATCAGACGCGAAACCCATCACTTTCATACATTAGAACGTGAACTCACCTTAATCCGACGACCGGAACACCCCCGACGTCATCAACTAACTCTGACAATACTAAGACGGTGGTTCCTGGTACTTGCACTTGCGGATACTGCAATTGCCCTTGCAGGACGACGGAAACGGTACCTGGAGGACTACCGACTGTTTCTCCACTAGAATTCACCATAGCGTTCGTATTACCATCGATTAAGACGTCGGCGATTTGTTGGCCGTGAATTTGGTGCGCGCTGATGTTATTAATCGTTATTTCCCCCGTGTTGTCCGCGGAATATATTTCGAGTCCCTTCTGGTCCGGCGCTGTGGTGTAGATGACGGTTTTGTTGCCGTCTTCGTATATTAGATCTATCGGCGTGTCGCTTTTGTCCGCGATGCCTTGAGCGTAAATATCGTCGTCTTTCTCGTACAATACTTCGGTTTTAACCTGAGCGTATAAGGGCGGTCGGCCCATGGCACTTTCCTCTTCCATTTCCTTCTTCAGTTCCATAACGTTGACCGGCGTCATGGTGGCCAACATGGTCGGCGAGCCCGGCGCTTCCTTGGGCGATCGGCCCGCGGGGGACGCTTGGGGCGGCGGCGGCGACATCATGCCGTGATCGGCGTCGAGGGACGGCGACGAATTGGAAGACATATCATCAATCTGGCGACGAGTCATTTTATGGCATCGGAATATCTTATCACAGGTGTCACTTATATTTTATTGCACTTGTTTACGTATATTAAAAGTCTGAATATGGCACTTGTATGGCTGTTGCTTTCCTGGAAAATAACAACAGTGGATATAATTGATGTGGTCGAAGCGAGGTAAGTATTTAATAAATGGGGTCATAAAAGGCACGTTTACTATAAGCGACACTGGCTTACTACTGGTACCGGTTCGGATCGACTCTATTATTTCAGAACCAAAAAAGTGTGGTTGAAGTAGAGCCGGGCCGGTTCGGTGACCATACCGGACAGGGTTGCTGGTGGAATACTTCGTTCATACGTCGAGCTAACAAACCGGAACCTCCACGTGCCCGAGAGTCGGGACAGGTTTGACGACCATATGGGAACCTGTGCTCCTAGCATGATGGGTACTTGTGCAAAACCTTCCAGGCGCCTTTAATTTTAATTCTTTCGACGCATATACACACCATCCGGAAAAGGAACTATCCAATAAGGTACTTTTGGTTATAGTTAAAAATGTTTGCATCGACTCTATACTATATATGCGCATCGAATAGACTAGTACCTATACATAGTAGGTACATACATACATATCGAACGGAGAAAAAGTGAATTAAAATTGTAAACTCGTACCATGGGAGGCCCAATGTGGCATCGACTTGCGTCACGATTGGTTCGCTGTCAAACATTCATTACTATTGGTTACATTGGGCGTGTTTTTAAGATATATTAAACGTAAATTCGATATGATCGAAGGTCACATTAGTATTCCTGAAAAAAAATCATCAAATGATCTAATGCATGATAAAATTAGACATGGGATTATCGAACGAACGGCGGCGCCAAAAAATCTAAACACCCAGGCGAGAGTGCAAGTGCAGGTAAACTAGTAGGGGCGTAACGAGACGCCATTCAAGATTAAGTGCGAGCAATAGTTGATGAACAGGTCTGCCAGCTCTCGGATAACAGGTATTATTGTAATCATTCAATATTGAAAACAACTAGGTGTGAGCGAGCATGCTTGCTGCCCGGCCGGCGTGGTACAAAAGTGACAGTGGTTTTTCGCATTCAGTATATATCGGGTCGAATTCACGTGTGAAGAAGAAGCAATACAGTTAAATCAAATTTACCTACTCGTTATATTACTACAATAGCGGAATCGAGTGGAATCCCTTTGTTTGGTCCTTTCGGTCGGTTTATAAAGGTGCATCGACGGGGCACGCACTACACCACACGGACGCACTACCCGACAGATTCATGCTCAACGCTCTGTGACAAAACGTGTGCATCTACCCAAAAGTATTGACCAAGAATTTTCAATATTCAATCACATACTAGCGTCTACAGGTGTTTCGAACTAATACTCTACTGACTGTTAGTTGCGGCGGCTCAAAGTCGATCGCAGGTACGAGGAGCGCGCCTTCGCTCGCCTCTCTGCCTCCGTCCCGCAACGACACCTGCCGCCGGTGCGAGAGAGAAGACGCCGGGCACGTCTTTGCTTAAGTGCCGAGGCCGCTCGCCGCGTTCGGAGCTGCGTTCAGCCTCCGGGCCCCCGCGGTCGAAGCCGCTCCGCCGGACCGACGTCCTCTCCTTCTCGCTCGCCCGGCCTGCCTCCGATCGCTCTCTCCTTGTCCGCGGCCCGTACGCTCGGCCGTCCGTCGTCGGCTTCTTGGAGACTGTACGTGGGAGTTCCGTTTTTGATTCTTCTCGTTTCAGCGCGAGGGCAGCATCGATGCCGAGCGATTCGAAATCATGGCCGCGTCTCCACCGAAATCAACGCTCTAGAAAAAGACCAAACGTGCAGGTCGTTGTTTTAAACTCTCTTATTTCATTTTATACTCCTATATAACAACATTGCACTAATACACACATATTTTTTTTTTAAATTATCAATAGTTACTTCAACCTTAACACAGCGTACTTTATAACTATTGTATCTTATACAATAGTATAGATATTTCCAATTAAATCGAAGCTTTATACTAAATACTAAATACTTAATACTAAAACTATTTTATTTACTCAACCATTAACTATACCTTTGAATATACTTAACTTGTTCGAGTTGCTGCAGTGTTGAGTTTTACGCGTTGTGGTAAAGGTATTAAAATTTTTGCTCCATTTAATTTCATTTAAAGACATTCAATTATACAAACGCGGGATTAAATATTCCTGCACATGAATTTTATAATAATATTTGGTTAAGGTGTATCTAGCGTAACAAAAAAGCGACCTACCTATAATGAAATATGCATTAAAAATGCATTAACTGTTCCTTCTATACAATATTCAAATGAGTTCAATTTGTGGTTTTAGCGTTTATTTCATATCTTAACTTGACTCACCTCACCCAATTTATTTATTACTAATCAAAAAACAATTTAATATTCCACGGAGTAATGAAAGTGGCAAAAGAGATCAACGCTCGAATAGAACAGTAACCCATCTATTAATTTAAAATCGACTTAAATTCGAACACCAAAAGTGCGAATAACTAACAATTTTATCAAAATCATAAAATTGCGATCAAACATATCTTTACAAAAACTAACAAAAAACCATCACGTAACAATTTTTTGGATAAAGACCGGCTATAATATTGTCAAAAAGTGTGTGTAAATTTTAAAGCTAAAGGTGCACAAGTGTGTGCGTTGGGTTCGTTATAATGTCGTGTGCACCTTCGACGTTCTTGTATATTCTCTTTAGGTTGGTCGCGTCATCAATGGACCATCGATAGTACGATACTCTTTGCGGGGCTGTACCCGAGAGCCTTCTTAAAACTAAAGGGTTAGGACCAGAACCATAAAAAATGTGAGTTAATGGTCGGACGGAGGCTCGGTTATTTTACCACAAAGAAGCTGCGAAGAGAGATACAATGTTTCGAGAATTCGAGGTAGATAGAGACGACGAACCGACAAAAAATAAACAGGTAGATATCTTATATTCGATTTATAATGGGAAACTACGTACTTTTTTTATACGAATGGTAGAAGAAATCAAAAAGTGTTTAAGAGAGTTGATTGTTTTTTTTGGAATTTGATTTTTGGTTGCTTTCTTACGATGTGAATGATAAAATTGTAAAGTTTACAATTTCGTTAGAAAATTTAATTATCCTTGTATACCTGTAAAATATATTGAATTATAAAAATAGGTCAAAGATGACTACTTTTACTCTTTTAGGGCTTGCGATGAATTTCCAAAATTCAATACTTGTCGTCCGTCAAAATTCGATCTTAAACTTAAAAGTAAACTTTCATTTTTTTGTTATTACAATTTATTTACATTAATTTAATACTTTTAAAGGTCGTTTTTTAGTTTAAAATAAAAAGAGCGTCCTTCGATGGCCTTCACAATACTTGCTCGTAAAAGCACAAAGTGTAGATCTTTATCACTTCCTGGAACATTATTTTTTGAAATTTAAGAAACAACATACTCTCATCTCGTCTCATATACAGGCATAGATATCATTAACTTTAGGTATATAAAAAATAAGATAGGCATTTTAATTATAAATCCAAAAGTTTCATTGAGATTCAAACGTATCAGATTCAATGCGATGATTCGATTCGAAGCCAATTAAAATATACAGGGTGACGTTATTTTTAACGTTTTTTTTTAATTTGTATTTTTATCGTAAATCTGCGCCTATAAAAATTCGAAACAGACCCGAGAAGTATCCTTCTCTCGATTTTAGTAGGCATCCCTGTAAAGGCAGGAATGCCTTCGGTTAGCAGACGTTTAAAAATGTGACCAAAGTAGTCGATAAGTGCGTAGAGATTTTGAAAAAGTAAAGCGATGCGTGGAATTGCCGGATAGATAAAAAAAAGTACAAGAAGGGCCATCGATGGATTTCTTACGCAGAAAACGAAAGAATCAATATCGCTCTCGACCTATATGACGTTGTTTATATTCAACGATCGTCCGAAACGTCATTCGACACATCGCAGTGCCATTGTAACATAGCTGGGCATTTTTACTCGGGACGTACAATTATCCGTCTATGTACGCGGTGCGTGAAGCGATTTTCTTAAATGCGACGTCAAAATGGCGGACAAATGTTAACTACTTTCTTATAAACGTTTGAATTGGTTTTTATAGCGTCTCGAGAGATGAATAAAATAGCGACAAACGGACTTTTATCTTCGCTAATTGATTCAAACGATGATGATAAAAAATTTCATTAGATCATTTCCTTCGAACAAAATTGAATTCCTGCTCTTTAAATATGTATGTATATCTATTCATAATATACAGGGTGATTTGATATTTTATTGTTATGTTTTTTTTTATAACGTACGGTGCTAAAACAATCGATTTTCGCAGGAGAATTTATCTATAATATTTTGCTCTACCGTCATGCAGCTATTTAGAAACCGGTAGCAATTTGTGCTTAGACCTGGTCTGTACACCGTGTCATTAAGGATTTTCATGCTTGTTTAAAATTTCACGGACATACAACTATTAAACCTAAGGAAAAACCAATTAAATTATTTTGAGTGCAGGCGTCTCTGTTGTTTTTTCTATATGCATAATTTTAAACAGGCACAAATAATCAAATTGCTACAAAATTTCCAGAAAAAAAAACAAATCTACCAATAACAAACTATGAAGTAATTAAATATACGAATATACTGTTAAAAAATTTGTAATATAAAGAAATATATTCTGTTACAATGATATAATTATTGAGCATGTTTCATGCACATAAACTTAAGTAATAGTAGTTTCTTCTAGGAAAGCTGTCGTCAAAATAATATCATAAACAAAGTTATAATTACGTTATATTTTCTCAGCATGGTGTTTCTTAAAACAGGACTTGCTACTCTTGTAACTCCATTCGAAACGTTTACACGTTTTATGTAATTTGTGTTAGTATCCCCATATAAACGATAAACATCTGTTAGGGGTCACATCGTATACATAAAAACTTACTGAGAAATGTCAGTATGCAGTTAGAACGCTTATTTTTTACTAAGAAAAATTTCAAATAGGTAAAAAATGTCAACAATGTGAACTGATATGCATCTCAGAACCGTCAATTTCACATGCACAAGTACAGACAATTCGACACAAGTTTCAAATATTTAATTTACCAAAACTTCTTGCAGTCGATTAACGAATTAGGACAGACCTTAAAGGGCTATTGAGCGAGTGAAAAAATTGTGTGGGAACGTGAATGAAAATTTCCCTGCAATTTAACAGAGTATTTCGTGAATATCCCGCTCTTCTCCCCGCGTGAATTTAACGGTATATTGACGAGGTACTTTCGTTGGCAGTCTCAGTAATTTTGCCTTATCTGACTTTTACGCGTATCGAGTAAAAAGGTTGGCGAATAAATTGCTATTTGCTTCTTTTTATTTCGTATATCAAAGTGAAGAGAGAGTTGTTGTAAAGATAACTCAAGCTATCTTATGGATCTCCGCAAAGACAGATGTCCGGCCATAAAGCTAAGTCAAGGGTCATACGTTAGTTACAATAACAATTCGCGAACTTCGATTCGATATTTTCAAAGAAAAGCGTTGAAATTGTTAAAGTTAAATTGGCGAATTAAAATAGTTTTCCTAATTTGTGCGTATAAATTGCAGTACATATGTTAACGGTGCATTTTCTTAACAAGCTTTTTTTCGCATCCAACGTACTTATTGGTATCATTCGTTTGAAGTCTATTAGGAATTTTTGTATAATTTCGCGATTTTTCATTCGTTTGATTAATAGCCAATTAATGGAAAATATTCATGAAACTAGCCGGCACTGTGTGAATCCTACACCCAGTATTTTATTTCCTTATTGGTTTACATCAGTAACAGCAATCAATGTTAATTTCGTCTTCAAGAATTTAACCGTTCTTGCACTATATACAGGTATAAATTATTTTTCTACAAACGATAAATAACTCCACTGTGGATATAGATCAAAACAGCTTCATTTAAAAACAAGTTCTATTCATTCGGTTTTATTAAAAAGGTATTTACTAATGAATAAATTCTAAGTAGGTATACACTTTTGTTTAAATGTGTCCATGAGTTAGGGAATGAACTAATGAAACTACTGTCGTATATGACTTCCTTATGCATATGTAGGTTATTGGTTAATTTTATAAGCTGTGAATAAATCGTACAGAAATTAGCGTTTCGCCGATAAAGATACCGTCTAATAAATACTAATCCTCTAAACATTTCCTGTTGATTCACTGCATACCTAATTACTTCGTTCGCGGTTTTCCAACGGCACAGATTTAATGAATTAAAAGGAAGGAGAAAATTTGATAAAAAAAATGTCGTTCATTACAAAAATTACATAAGAAATGTCACGTTAGAATTACGATAATTGGTTTTAGCATCTTATTCGACTAGGTATACGTTAAATTAAA